CACCATCACAAAAGCCATAGTTGATGTTCATTTAAATCTAGTTTGACCTGTATAAAAACGTGGGAGAGATGGAAAATCGGATGCAGTACCAAGGATCCTGTAGGGTTGGATGAGTAGAATGGCTTATATTTTTTAGGGCTCTTTTAGGTGAAATATGGGGATATGTGGCTAGAGAAGTAATAAATGGAGAATTAAATGTTAACCAACAGGAAGAATGTCCTTTCTGATAGGTATGTGAGGCACTGAAGGAAAGGTGTAATGGAATAATCCCTGAATATGTCCTGTTATAGATCCTTTTTAATGGCAGACTAACCTCCACCCATATAGGTGTGGTACAGGGTTAAGGAAAGGACAATGGCTGTCTAAGTGCTCTCATGATGAAAATGCCTTATAATAAATAATACACTTATTTAAATAATATAATAAATTCCTTTGGGACTTGAGTTCCAGGACTCCCTTGGAAGGAGCCATTACTTATTCTACAAATGCACTCATCACTTGCTACCTACAGTTCTGGGCACAGTACTTTAGGAGAGAACTAAGATCAATAAATTCTGTCTCACCCTCAGTGACATTACAACCTGGTAGTGGTCAGAAGATACATGTCCAGAAAGCAAGGTAATTTGTGAAAAGGGCCATAAAAGAGGTAAAAGGGGAAAAAAAACCCAACAAAAACCCTATCAGCATGTAGGTGAGAAATACCTCTTCTAGTATTCAGTTATCTATTTCTACATAATGAACAACACCCCCAAAAAGTGATGTGTTTTTCTCATAGTTCTGTGAGTTGGCTGGATGGTTCTTTTAGTGGCCTGCTCTGGGCTCATTCATGAATGTGCAGTAAGAGGTAACTAGAAAGAACTGAATGGTCCAAGAGGGTCTCACTCACATGTCGGGCAGTTATATGTGTTGGCTTGGCTAGGCTTCTTTATAGCATGGTGGTCCTTAGAGCAATGGTCCAAGATGATGAAAGGAGAAGCTGAAAGTCATCTCTAGGCTTTCATTCCTACCACATTCTAGTGGTCATAGCAAATCACAAGGCCTATACAGATTCAACGCATGGAGAAATGGACTTCAAATCTTGGTGGAAGGAGCTGAAAATATTATGGCCATGTTTTACAACCTACTCTAAATGGTAGAATCTCAGCAATCAATACGTCTATAAATATTTGTTAAATATCTACTGTTTGTGAAAGACACTCCTTAAGAAACTTACACTCTGGGTAAGAAGACATAATAATGTAAAAATTCACAGTATTAAGTATCAGCACTAGTAATCTTTTATTACCTGGGGGGAAAAATCAATACTAGAAATTCATGATGCAATACATGCTTCATAACAAATAAATTAAACAGTATAGTACAGGTTCAGGGAAAGAAGAAATCACTTCTAGCCAGAGCAGCCAGAGAAAACTTTAAAAATATTAAGAAGGATTGTTATATTGTCATGCATGGATAACCTGGAGTTGAGCTCTGTCTTAAGTAACCCAATTGGCAGAAAAATGCAAAAGGTAATGATTATATTTGTAATTTTCTCATAGTTAATGAAACACTTTTATATTCATATGCATTTATTTCAAAACCCACTATGAGATGGACAGAGAAGACTATATTTTATGGATACGAAAACTAAGTCTCTGTATGCTAAAGTCATTTAAACTAAGTGAAAGATTGAAATGGGACTAAAAGTCCAGGTCTTCTGACTATAGTTTAATGCTTTTGCACTTACATCATCTGCTAGGCAGACTGAAAAGGGCAGCAACACAGAGGTGGTAGAATGCACAGTATTTAGGATGGAGCCTTTTTATGCTCAATGCCTGGCAGGTAGGAGTTGCTTGATAAATGGCTATCAATCAACTAATTAATTTAAGGCCCATTTTGAGGTAAATTTGTATACTAAGCAATATTGTCAGCTGCAGTCCCAAGCAGGTGGACAGTCCCAAGTCGGGTGGATAGTCAGCCAGGGTACTATAGTGCAGCATCAGTTTTTATTTTGTGTGTGTTTTTTTTAATAAGTTTTTTAAAAAACTTCATTGGGGAACAATGTGTTTTTAAGGGGAACAATGTGTTTTTTCCAGGAACCATCAGCTCCAAGTTAAGCTGAGCTTGCGCCCTACACAACTAAGATTGAAGGACAACAATTTGTCTATTCCCCTTCCTCAATAAATTCCCCAATAAAATCTTTTTTTAAAAAAAGAAATTGTTTAAAAAAAAGTAAAAAGGACGATCCAGAATAATAATAGCCAAATTTACCGTGTGTTTACTATAATTCCAGGCATTTATCTAAACACTTAACAAGCTTTCAGCATAACCCTTGAAACAACAGTAAGTACTATTATCAAAATTATACAACTGAGAAAACTGAGGCATAGTGAAAAATCTACTTGCCTTGGATCACACAGCTAGCAAGTAAGGGGTTCAGAGAGAATTCATACACAGGTAGTTAGATTACAGAGTTCACTTGTTTACCCTATATAGATTCAAGATAACTAGGTGGATGGAGAGATAGGGTCATACTTCCCAAATTCTGTGCCAAGGGGCAAATTCACAGAGGCACCTGGGGTAATTTAAAATTTTTAAATGAAACACATCAATAATCAACATTTATTGTATACCATGCAAACTATTAGCTCGATGTAATTCAAAATTGAACATCAGATTTTGCTCCATTCCTTTTGATTTTAAAATGTCTTTGTGAAGCTGGGCTTTAGGGGATCCCTCTGATAAAAAAGTAAGTACTGTGTGAAAATCAGCACCTCTTGTATGGATTTCTGCCTGAATCAGTGATTCCTGAATAGTTCCTCTTTTTTATCTCAAATGCTTGTTTGTCTCCTCTCACTTTGGCCTTTTATTTTTAGGTTAACAGGACCAAAGAGATATAATAGACACTTACAAGACATTTTTTACTTTTGACCATTAAGTACCTGCTGTGTACCAGTGCTCACAAATGCAGCAGATGCACACACACCCAGCACCTGGATCTGTACCCTTTACAGGTCAAAACCTGTGAGGAAAGCAGAAAGAGATGTAAACAAACCAAGGTTAGGGGTAGAACAGGACGCAAGATAGGGTTTAATGCAACCTAGAGCTTGGGCCCTCTTGTTGAATAGACCACAAGATAAAGAATGTGGCCTGAGGAGGCCTGCTGAGCCTGGCAGGGTAGACTACTCTCTGGGCCATTGGTGAGATTGAAGAGACTGAAGGTCAAGTGATTATGCAGATTGGTGGTTGCTGAGCTTGAATTCAGAATGAAGTCTGCCATGTAGTTCTGAAGGTTATGTCACCCTGGCTAAGGTAGTGTCTGGTAAACTGTCCTTGCCTGTCACATAACAGTACATTTCTTTGGTGACAGGAATGTTTATATATACTGCAGACTCTTCCCCATATGGTGCTGGAGAAACTCTACAAAAGATTGAGCCTGTCCCCAATTTTCATTTTGTAGATACAATGCAGATCATCTTCTTTCGCTTTACATCCACTTACCTTACACAGAGTCCATTGAAATTAACTGTTTGCACTTTCTTAGATATAATGATGTTCTAATCTTGACTTCCATGTAAACTGGGTTGTATTTGGGGTGTTAGGAAAAACAAGGCTTTCAGCAATCAACTTGGCTAGATGTGTCCTTGGGTTGATTTTTGCCTATGACTGATCTTACCCATCACTTAAAATCATGCTTTTGATGTTGCAGTTGCTCACAGTCTTCATTACCAAGATCACTGAGATTTACTTTAGTTCACCCTGTTGTTATCTTTGCTGAAATTATGGGAAGAATAAGGATAGTAATAATAATAATATAAATAATAACAATAATGATGATAAAATAAAGCAGTCAATCAGCACCGGTCTTCGTGAGATATATATATATATATATATATATATATATATATATATATATATATATATAAATTTTTTTTCTTTATATATACTGTCTTTATTCTTATGTCCCTAGCACTAGAACAGTTCTGGCACATAGTTGATTCTCAATAAACATTTCTTTCATAAATGAGATAGAAACAGGGTTGGGAAAGGGTGGCTTGGGCCATAGTGATGGGTAAAATGGCAATCTGGAAAACTAGAGTTTAGGAGAATGGAAACAGGTGGAGGATTCCAATAGCTAAACAAGGGCCATTGATTTGTGATTTTATGTGAGGGTGGTTAAATTTGTAAAAATGTGGAGAGGAAATAGCTGAATTTTTACAAAAACGTTATATTATGTAATTCTGTTAGAGAAATTTTAAACTTGCAAAAGTGGTAAGAGGAAAATAGCTGGATTCTTACAAAAACATCACATTGTGCAATTCTGTTTCCAGAAATTTCACCCTGGGAGTCCACCAGTCACCATTATTGCTTGGATCCAGTATTGCATAAACCAAGGGAGTGTCTGCGTTTTCCAGTCTCATCCCCACCGCTTGTCAGTGAGGAGGATCCAATAATTCTTTCGCGTAGGATTTTTTTCTGCTCCCCATCTGGGCCAGACTCCTGATATGAACTCCCCAGTCCTGTAACCTTCAGGTCAGCAGTGTTGCTAGGGTCGATCCTGTTTCCTTTGTCCAGGAAACAACTCACACAGGCTTAATTTTATTCTGGGTTTGCACTACCTAAAGTTTAAAATTTTTTCTTTCTAAATCTCTTAGGGTTAGCTGCAGACACACTCGTAAACGGGGTTGCAGATAGATGGGGGTCTCCTCACGGCTTCTAGCACTCTTCCCATAGGTTTCCTTACCTGCAAACGCGGATCTGCGGACCGGAATGGGTGCAGGGAAGAAATGCTGGATGCCCTCCTCACCGCCCCCTCCCCCGCCCTCTCCACGCGCCGGTCGGGAATGGTATATGGGCCATGAGAAAGAATCCGGGGCTGGAAAAACTCAGATTGAGTTTACAGAACAGCCTCCCGCGATTATTGAAAAAAAAGGGTGTGTCGCCATGGAGATGGGGCGGGACTGTGTGCTTGGCTGCCACTGGCTGGGAGCTCCTCGGACGCGGATATAAGCCAGCGCCAGACACAGAAGGTGCGGACACTAACGGTACGGAGCAGCCTAGGTGACAGCACCTCAACCCATCCGAGCAGAGCCCAGCGGAGCAGGGCAGGTTCATCGAGAGGGCGTCGGCGGGACCATGGAGAGCCGGTGAGGCGGGCACCAGGCTCGGGGAATCCTGGAGACCCCTGGGGAGGGGAAATGGCTGTCACCGAGACCTGGAAACCTGGCATCCTGGGCCTCCAAGGTTCCGGGAGAGGGAGAGAGTGCCCTGGAGATGCAGAAAGGCCTGGCACGGAGCCCAGTGTCTGGGACAAGGCGGCACAGCAGTGGGGCGGCCAGCGCGGGCAGGGGCGCAAGTGGGAATCGAGTTGGGGAGGCGCCACCAAAGCAGGAAAGGGGCTGTGTTAATACAATGTAGTCTACTCGAAAAAGGAGCCGGTATGTGTGTATGTTCCCACGCGCGTATATTCCTCCCGCCTCCCCGCGCCGCCTCACCGACACACACAGGGTCTTGCCACCGCATGAGCCCTTCACAGACTCTCATTCTAGAGTCTTAGTAAAGTCATGAGGAACTTTGGTGCCCATATCTAGAGTCCCTCCTTCAGAGGAGAGCTTGCTCACGTCCCACGCCAATACCCCCCTTCCCTCCAAATTGGAGGTCCAGTGAATTTGGGATGGAGTGTCCAAGGAGACAAGGAAATCCTTATTCAGCGAAGTGAGCAACAGGTCCTGCCCATTCCCCACCCCCTTCCCATCACCCACCCGCAGCTTTGAAAAGCTTTCTCTCTGCTTTGGTCCTGGAAACCACAGTCCAAATCTCTTGGTTGGGGATCACTGGTTTTTGGATGCCCAGGGATCCAGGGTATTCCTGGGGAACCGATGGCCAGTGAAGAAGCCTTATAAGGTGTAGCTAGATATGCTAGGTGTCCAGGACTTCACAGTGCTTTCATTATCTTTCCTGCCTTTGGGGATGCCATTTGATCTTTTGTTTGATTTTTACCACTTTGTTGCTTCTCTTCTCCATCATCCTTGTGGCCCCAGCTCTATTGCCCCCACCCTTGTCCCTTACCCAGCTAATTTCCTGAGGGTAGCCCATATGTAGAGTCATATGGTTTCAAAGGCTCTGCTGTTGAAGGAAAGGGTTTCCTCTGGAGGCTGGGTAGTTGTGTTCAGCTCTGTCACAACTCCGCTTGCAGTTCTCAAGTTTTCCCCCCTTCAATCTTTGGTCTTTCCAGATGAGTTTGAGGCAATTGGTCTGGACTTGTGAGAAAAATTCTAGGTTGCTTTTCGGGGGTATACGGGCTCTGGGGATGTGCATGTCTTGAGTTCTCTGGAGGGCAAAGAACCTTGAAGAGGAGAGGAGATGGGAGAAGGCAGGGAGAACACAGCAGAGGGGAAAGTGAGAAAGCAACACTGAAGAGCTGCGGGGCTGACTGAACCATGATTGATGGTGCCATAGGACTTTGGATCTAATTAGCAGCAAATTTTTAAATAATTTTCAAATTCAGCCTAATAGATAGGTGGGGAGCTCTTTGCCCTCCTTGATTGGATTATTTCAACTGTACTTCTGTAGGCTCTGCGGTCCCTTCCTCTCTAAATCTTTGTCATAAGGAGAGCCATCAACTCTGACAGTGGTAACAAAACTGGAGTTGGGGCTGGTGGTGGAAACGTAGACGTCATTAACTTTGGTTAGGCTCTGGAATAAATTTTTTTTAGGGGACGGGGTGTTCTGAGTTTAATATCAATCCATAGGTATGCAGGCCTTGTTGGTGATGTTTTGGGATAGCTGGAAGGAATTTCATATCAGATTTCAATGGGTCTAATTCAGAAAGAGGAGTGGGTGGGTGAGCTTAGTGTGGCCTCTCCTGAGAGAGGAGCCTCTCCTCTGGGGCAGCTCTTTGGCCAGCTTCTCTGTCCCCTGCCACCTCGGTATACGTGCCATCCTGTTTGCACTAAAGGTCATTATTCTATGATGCCCTTGGGATGGGAGCACGGCTCACCTTGATTGTTCTTTGTTCCTAGATTCACATATGAAGATTGTCAGAGCACTGCAGAGTGGCTCCTGTCTCACACCAAGCACCGACCTCAAGTGGCAGTGATCTGTGGTTCTGGGTTAGGAGGTCTGACTGATAAGTTAACTCAGACCCAGGCCTTTGACTACAGTGAGATACCAAACTTTCCCCAAAGTACAGGTACTGGCAGGAAGGGGAGAGGGATGGGACTGAGGGGTACTGATGGGATTCTGATGGGAGGGCAGTGCTTCTATGCCCCCATCTGGTTATCCTCTATAGCACTGGACTAAAGACAACTGTTGTAAGAGAGGGAAAAAGACCAGCGCCAATCAGAATGACTTGAGAAGGAAATTCCCCTGCTAGAATTTAGTAATAGACAGGGCATGTGTGCCTCAGTGGTATTACATGATGACATGTTTCCAATGCTTTAATAGTCAGGGCTCTTTAAACCTCTACAATGCCTCCCTCATACACACTAGGGTCACCACACACTCACACACTCATCTCATTTCTATCACTCCGCAGCTTAAATGGTAAGAGCAGTGCTTGTCACCTCCCATGACAAAGTCGGGCCTCCCCTGTCCTGTGTCCTCCTGCCATTTCCAATCTCCCCAGCTCTAGCTCCAGTCCTAGGGAAAAGCCCACATTAGCGCACAGCAACCAATGAACATACAGACTACCATGTTCTTGCAGATAATGCATGAATACACAAAACTGATACACTGACCCTTTGGAGGGGAAAAGGGCAGATGTCCTCTATGCACAATGGAGCTCTGAGGATGATGTATCCAGCATTCAATAGCAGCTAGAAAGCTCTACAGCTAAAGTTTGGAAAAGTGCCAGTGCCACAGGGGCAAGTAAAGGACAAGCGTAGTTTATTTGGTTTACTTATTAATTTCTCAGATAACAAACTTGCCTTGGTTAATTTTATACATTTTTGGCCTTCTACCTTCCTCTTTTCCCTGGAGAGTTATGACTTTTCACAGATTTTTCAGTTTCTTTGAAGCAAGACTGGGAGGCAGAGCAGGGAGGTGGGAATGGGGGTTGGAGAAGAAAATACTGAAAAGAGAGAGGGAGAGTCAAATTTTCTAAAGGGAGATAGCAGTGACATCGGCTCCGCCTGCCACTTGTACCCCTGGTGAGAAGGGCGCTACACTAAGTGATAAGCTAATTTACTTTTGAAAGCTTTATCAACTTATTATGTGTACTCTACTTGGGTTTCCTAGCCATGTCACCTTTGCTCTATTGCTGCTAATGTTTTTATTGTAAATAAACTCCTCTATCTCTGAGTATCTCTCAACTTTTCCTCTTGGTCCCTTTCCCAGAGCATCCATTCCTTGAAGGCTAGTTGGCCATGTCCATTACAGGAGAAATGCCAGATAAGGAAATGGTAATCATGGTTATATCTGTGTGGGGAGTCATCTTTGCACCCCCATGCCCCTGTGTGCCCCATCACGGGCATGTATTCCCGTAGAACTGTTCTGTGGGTCATACTGGAGGAGACTTATGTGGGTCCAAACTCAGCCCCTTTTCCTTGTTCAGTAGCCTCTTCAGGAAGCAGAATAGACCACGAACTCCTTTTCAGGAGTGAGGATGCATACAGTTTAGTTAGGGTAATAAATAAGAATATGCATTTTAAGATTTTTGAAGGGCTGGCCAAGTGGCTCAATTGGTTGTTAGCTTAAGAATGTGAGCTCTGAGCAACAAGGGCTGTCGGTTCGAGTCCCACAGGGGCCAGTGATGCTGCACCCGAGCTGAGCTGCCACTGAGCTGCCAACAGGTGGTAGGATGGCTCAGCTGGTGAGAGCACGTGCTCCTAACAACAAGACTGCCTGTTCGATGGTGGGCTACACCCACTCACGACTAAGACTGATCTCGGCACCTTGAGCTGAGCTGCCACCCAGATGGCTCAGTGGATACAGCATGCGCTCTTAACAAGGAGGCTGCTGGTTTGACTCCTGCATGGGATGGTGGCTACGCCCACCCGCAACTAAGATTGAACACAGCATCTTGAGCCGAGCAGCGTGACTGGACTTAGAGCTAAGCTTGCTGCACCGTCCACAACTAAGATTGAAAGACAACAACTTGGCTGTTCCCCTTCCCCAATTCCCCAACACTGTTCCCCTTGCCCAATTCACCAATAAAATCTTAAAAAAAAAAGAAAAAAGAGTTTTGAAAATTCTGGGAAAGGATCTATAATTATGGTATTCATTGTTCCAAATTTATTCTGCTTTTTGTTCACTTTAATCTCTTGCAGTATGGCTTTCTCCTTTTTTTTTTTTAAAGATTTTATTTTATTTATTTATTTATTTATTTATTTATTTATTTATTTNCTGGAAGGAATTTCATATCAGATTTCAATGGGTCTAATTCAGAAAGAGGAGTGGGTGGGTGAGCTTAGTGTGGCCTCTCCTGAGAGAGGAGCCTCTCCTCTGGGGCAGCTCTTTGGCCAGCTTCTCTGTCCCCTGCCACCTCGGTATACCTGCCATCCTGTTTGCACTAAAGGTCATTATTCTATGATGCCCTTGGGATGGGAGCACGGCTCACCTTGATTGTTCTTTGTTCCTAGATTCACATATGAAGATTGTCAGAGCACTGCAGAGTGGCTCCTGTCCCACACCAAGCACCGACCTCAAGTGGCAGTGATCTGTGGTTCTGGGTTAGGAGGTCTGACTGATAAGTTAACTCAGACCCAGGCCTTTGACTACAGTGAGATACCAAACTTTCCCCAAAGTACAGGTACTGGCAGGAAGGGGAGAGGGATGGGACTGAGGGGTACTGATGGGATTCTGATGGGAGGGCAGTGCTTCTATGCCCCCACCTGGTTATCCTCTATAGCACTGGACTAAAGACAACTGTTGTAAGAGAGGGAAAAAGACCAGCGCCAATCAGAATGACTTGAGAAGGAAATTCCCCTGCTAGAATTTAGTAATAGACAGGGCATGTGTGCCTCAGTGGTATTACATGATGACATGTTTCCAATGCTTTAATAGTCAGGGCTCTTTAAACCTCTACAATGCCTCCCTCATACACACTAGGGTCACCACACACTCACACACTCATCTCATTTCTATCACTCCGCAGCTTAAATGGTAAGAGCAGTGCTTGTCACCTCCCATGACAAAGTCGGGCCTCCCCTGTCCTGTGTCCTCCTGCCATTTCCAATCTCCCCAGCTCTAGCTCCAGTCCTAGGGAAAAGCCCACATTAGCGCACAGCAACCAATGAACATACAGACTACCATGTTCTTGCAGATAATGCATGAATACACAAAACTGATACACTGACCCTTTGGAGGGGAAAAGGGCAGATGTCCTCTATGCACAATGGAGCTCTGAGGATGATGTATCCAGCATCCAATAGCAGCTAGAAAGCTCTACAGCTAAAGTTTGGAAAAGTGCCAGTGCCACAGGGGCAAGTAAAGGACAAGCGTAGTTTATTTGGTTTACTTATTAATTTCTCAGATAACAAACTTGCCTTGGTTAATTTTATACATTTTTGGCCTTCTACCTTCCTCTTTTCCTTGGAGAGTTATGACTTTTCACAGATTTTTCAGTTTCTTTGAAGCAAGACTGGGAGGCAGAGCAGGGAGGTGGGAATGGGGGTTGGAGAAGAAAATACTGAAAAGAGAGAGGGAGAGTCAAATTTTCTAAAGGGAGATAGCAGTGACATCGGCTCCGCCTGCCACTTGTACCCCTGGTGAGAAGGGCGCTACACTAAGTGATAAGCTAATTTACTTTTGAAAGCTTTATCAACTTATTATGTGTACTCTACTTGGGTTTCCTAGCCATGTCACCTTTGCTCTATTGTTGCTAATGTTTTTATTGTAAATAAACTCCTCTATCTCTGAGTATCTCTCAACTTTTCCTCTTGGTCCCTTTCCCAGAGCATCCATTCCTTGAAGGCTAGTTGGCCATGTCCATTACAGGAGAAATGCCAGATAAGGAAATGGTAATCATGGTTATATCTGTGTGGGGAGTCATCTTTGCACCCCCATGCCCCTGTGTGCCCCATCACGGGCATGTATTCCCGTAGAACTGTTCTGTGGGTCATACTGGAGGAGACTTATGTGGGTCCAAACTCAGCCCCTTTTCCTTGTTCAGTAGCCTCTTCAGGAAGCAGAATAGACCACGAACTCCTTTTCAGGAGTGAGGATGCATACAGTTTAGTCAGGGTAATAAATAAGAATACGCATTTTAAGAATTTTGTGAATTTGTGAAAGGGTCTATAATTACGGCATTCATTATTCCAAATTTATTCTGCTTTTTGTTCACTTTAATCTCTTGCAGTATGGCTTTCTCCTTTTGAAATTACTTTAAAAAGCCTTTCCTTTGTTCCTCTGATACATGTTCAGTTTTAACATCTTTACCCCCAGCGATCTAATAGCAGTACGTACTTATACACTTACTTGTAAGTTTATGATTAATTTCTGTCTCCACCAGACTTAAATTTCCCCAAAATGGAGATAATAATGTTTTCTTTTGTTTAATTATGCCCTCACATGTTAAGCATCGTGAGCTGGCTCACAGTAGATACTCAATGGATGTGTTGTATGAAAACATCATGTCACTCATTCCTCTTTTTTCTTTGTATTCAGTGCCAGGTCATGCTGGCCGACTGGTGTTTGGGTTCCTGAACGGCAAAGCCTGTGTGATGATGCAGGGCCGGTTCCACATGTATGAAGGCTACCCGCTCTGGAAGGTAAATGGGGGGCGGGGGGGGCATAAGCCTGGTTGCATGTGGAAGAAGCGGTGAGGTCAGATGGGGGCTGGAGGAAGGGGCCGGCCAGCTTTTCTACTTAATTGCCGAACTACCTGGGCTACGTAGACTTTTTGATCCCCTGCTCATGATGTAGATCATGCATATCTGCATGGTGGATTGGTGAAATTTCAAAGAACATTTCCTGATCTTTTGTCATTTGCTTCTAAGGTGACATTGCCAGTAAGGGTTTTTCATCTTCTGGGTGTGCACACCCTGGTGGTGACCAATGCAGCTGGAGGGCTCAACCCCAAGTTTGAGGTTGGAGACATCATGTTGATCCGCGATCACATCAACCTACCTGGTTTTGGGGGTGAGAACGCTCTCATAGGGCCCAATGATGAGAGGTACATGTTTTGCTCCTTTGTTTATAGGTGGGAGGGTTTAAAGGCTTGTTGGGGAGTTAGGAGAAGCTCATTGTATTTATTCCACTAATCTGAGATAAACCAACCTGTGACCTAGGTTTGGAGTTCGCTTTCCCGCTATGTCTGATGCCTATGACCGGGAGATGAGGCAGAAGGCTCACTGTGTCTGGAAACAAATGGGGGAGCAGAGAGAGCTACAGGAAGGCACCTACGTTATGTTGGCAGGCCCCAACTTTGAGACTGTGGCAGAGTGTCGTCTGCTGCAGAAGCTGGGTGCAGATGCTGTCGGTGAGAGGGGGAATTTGCTGGATGGAGGCTTACAGAGGGAGGGATCTGGTAAAACAGCGATGGAAGGAGCAAAAGATTGTAGACATGATAGTGGACTGAGAGAGGATTGGACATAAGGGGAGACTAACTTAAATTTATTTCTAGAAAGATATTATGGTGGTGAGATTTGGTGTGCTATAGCATCACATCTCCTCACCCAGCATCAAGTCTGTCCTGCTGATGACCTATCCGTGATTTGATAACTGTGTCTAAGGATTATTCTAACAAACCCCATAGCCACCTTCTGTACCTCTGGCTGAGAAATGGAACCACATCTTGAGAACTGACTTCAAAATTACCACACTCAGATACAGAAATAAAGCATCGCAATGGTAATATTTATAAGAAATGTGTCAGGCCCGCTGAAGTCCTACTCTTTTAAGCAATATAGAACAGTATAAGCTCAACACTAATTTAGCAGCATCTTTGGTTGTTTTTTGCAATGTCAAATTGTCAAGGAGGTGATGAATAGAGATTAAGCTAAGGGGGTGAGGAAAAGAGCCATTTGGGATCCTGACACTTGGTTTTCCTCTTTCTCCCCATCAGGCATGAGTACAGTACCAGAAGTTATAGTTGCAAGGCACTGTGGACTTCGAGTCTTTGGCTTCTCCCTCATCACTAACAAGGTCATCTTGGATTATGAAAGCCGAGAAAAAGCCAACCACTTGGAAGTACTAGAGGCTGGGAAACAGGCTGCGCAGAAATTGGAAAAGTTTGTCTCCGTCCTCATGGCTAGCATTCCTGAC